GTAACGTCGTCAACTTTTTGAAGGCCATAGATTGGCCTAAATAAAATGTTTAATTGTGTACCAGTTTAACGTTGAATATTATTTATGATTTTAAGGATACCCGATTATGAAAACAAAACTTATATTCAAACTTATTGTCTCAAAGAGAGTTTTATCTTGAGTTAGTGAATTCAAATACTCGAGAAAATAAAATCATTAATTTTTTAGATTGGGAAAATTTCGGTTAATTAATCTGTTCAAAATTGTTTCTTATATACAGAGCAAGCGAGGTCATAATGTTCATTTCCATGACGAGAAGGGTCAGAGTTCAAATGGCTTCCGGTGTCCGTACGGATTTCATAAATTTTCTAGTCTCTCGAGCTTCCCTAATCTGAAACTGGAATCACTTCCATCAGAAGAGCAGTATTTTGTTGATTTGTCTGGAAATATTAACAAGGTAAGTAAGTTCCTTCTTGTTTATCACTTGTAAATTAAGGACAGTTAGCGTAGATAGGCCCCGAGGAGCTTTATGCGATATTTAATAAATAAACATACCTAATTCTATAAAACTTTTCACCGTGACTGTAAATTTGACAATATTATGAACCATTTCCCTATGTCTATATAAATTCATCAAACTATATGAAATGTTTTTCTTTGACTTTGTAAAGCTAACAACGTATATTTCATTATGACTGTAAGTCTACCAACTTCTATGAAACTTCTTATTGTTGCTATAAACTTGCCATCCTTTGTTTCACTGTGACTGTAAATTTACCGTCCTTCATCTTGTATTGTGACTGTAAACTAACTGTCCTTTATGTTACATTGTGATTGTAAATTCACCATCCTTTGTTTGGTTGTGACCATAAACTTATGTCCTTTCTTTCATTGTGACTGTAAACTTACTATCCTTTGTTTCATTGTGACTGTAAATTTACCGTCTTTCGTCTTGTATTGTGACTGTAAACTTACCGTCCTTTGTTTCATTGTGACTATAAACTTACCATCCTTTGTTTCATTGTGACTGTAAACGTACCATCCTTTGTTTCATTGTGACTGTAAACATACCATCCTTTGTTTCATCGAAAATGTAAACTTACCATCCTTTGTTTCATTGTGACTGTAAACTTACCATCCTTTGTTTCATTGAGAATGTAAACTTACCATCTTTTGTTTCATTGTGACTGTAAACTTACCATCCTTTGTTTCATTGAGAATGTAAACTTACCATCCTTTGTTTCATTGTGACTGTAAACTTACCATCC